ACAGTGTAGATGCACCTTGAGTGAACGTATAGGTCTGGCTACAAATTAGATCCATCCTGAGAATTTGTGGGAAAAACATGGCTGTTGTAATGGCTTTAAAAGCATTCCATATGGGTAACTTTAAGTAGGCTGAGGTGCAGAAATCTATGATGTTGTTGGAAGGGAACACCCATCACCCTTAAAATCAATTGCCTATATATTGTGAAACATGGAAAGGAGGTTTGGATTGCAGCAAGGCTGCAGAATGCATGACCCATTGATGATGTTGGATGGACTGCATCACCCATCAATCATAACCAATACATACAAAGGCAATAGATGACATCTGTATGGCCATATGTTCCCAATCCTAGGGTAGAGTGTACATTCTGCCCTCAGTGGAATTAAACAAAAATGCATATATAGCTCCTTTTCTTGTTAAAAAGTGTAATGATAAACACGTCACAGCCACAATTTCAGGTTTTTGTCTTTTCTCTATTTCTCACAAATTCCAAATAATTTGGGGTGTGTTAAGATGCTTAAAGTAGAGTAATTCTGAATTTGTCATGTTTGCTCCTATTGTGTGCCTTCAAGTCATTTCCGAACTCCGGCAACCCTAAAACAGAGATTTCTTGGTAAGATTTGTTCAGAAAAGGCTTATCATTGCCTTCCTCTTAATGTGATTTGCTAAGGTCATGAAACGGATATTTTAGAAATGCAAAAAAGTCAATGAGTTGTCCTTTGTTTTTCCTACAAAAGCTATTGTAAGAACTCTCAGTCTAAAGTTATGGTTTTGGATCTGACTCAGCTTCATCCCAATGTTTACGTGTCGCCATATGCTGCACATATTGTGCTTGATAGAAAACACATTATTCCATGTACTATTATGAACCTAGGAAATTTTGTGAATCTAGCTACAATGCAACAAAGGAGTACTGTAGACAGAGATCACAGAAACAGTGCACTCTTTAAGGGAACCAAACCTGTGTTGACAAACCCTAGTTCCTAATAAAACACCACACTATTGAAGAAAAGCATGGCTGTACTACTCACCCATACCACACATTCCTTTAAACTAGTAGAAGCCAATGCCTGGGACAAGGGCCCACTGCTCTCGTTCTAAATCCACCAGGGAGTTACATCCTATTCTTACCCCTAGGCTAGGATTTTGCCATTACACCACTACATTTCTGCAGTGCAGAATTAGCAATATGAAAAGCAATTATTCTTTTCAGACAAGGTGTATAAAGAAGGTGCCCCACATGTCTTGTTCTAAAGGAAAACTGAAGTTCATTTTGTTGTTGCTCTGCTGGGAAATTCAGCAGTGGGACAGAGGGGAATGACAGGGGCATGAGAGTTATATGTTACCCACCTCTGCACACCAGAGCCAGGTTTTTGGAGTCCTTAAGGCTCCAAGCTGGACATATTGAAAATGCTGCTGGGTTGCTTCATTAGTGAGACTTCTCTTGCGGTCAGTACAGGGCATATGATTACCCAGAGGAGATGGCACTGATAAACAGGCATTCGGTATGACCCCTGCATCCTCAGGACCAATGCACGTAGGTTCATCTTATCAGCATTTGATAAAATATGTCATCTCCAGGAATTTTTGAGGTCCTCCAGACAATTCTATTATATGCTTCTGCCATAAATTACCATAGTTACCATGGAAGACCTAGCAAATTAGATGAGAGGATAACTATTTGATTGTTTTTTATACTGTTTTATTGCTATATTGTTATTTAAATTGTATATTTATGTTTTGGTTGTGGCCGCCATGGGGTGCCGGTCTGTTAGCTGCCCTGAGTCCCTCTGCAGAGGTCAAGATAGGGCGGGGTACCAATGACCGAAATAATAAATAACTCTCTATTCAAACTGCTCCCTTGCAGTTTGAATATTGTGGAAAAAATAAACCGAGGATACAAGATTCCCACAATATCCATTCAATTTCTTTTCACACAATGAACTGAAAATACAACTCCAACCCAATGAACAACATGCTCTACATTCAGTTTCTTTTAAAATAATATTTTTATGTTTTAAAAGAATATTTTAGTTGCACGAGTTAGAAAATATAATAAAATTATAAACTGTACATTTGAAAAATTAGGTCAGTGACAAATGTTTCACATGTAAAATTCTGGTTGTTCAGTAGACCAAAATACCAAGCAGTCAACCCCCAGCCAAACACTTCCTGTGTGGTTGATATATATAAACTGGAGAAAAGCAGGAAAATGAAAAAATGTAGATGATGTGGAAAGAAACAACCATGTAGCACCAACTGTAAAAAAAGCTCTCTTCTTCCATCGATAGAGTCTGCCTTATCTTTAAATAAATAGTGTTATCACTTTTCATAGTAGAGTAGGAGTCATTTCTCAGAAATGAACTGGACGATGCACGAAGAAGTGGGCAGATGTGGAAAAATGCAAAAATGTAGGATGATTTCAGTCGACTTCGGTTGTCCCACACGGTCTTAAAAATTCATTTCCTCTTTCATGAAACCACTTATTTGAGACTGTAAGGAACAGATAGCTTTGTTAGAATTGTACAACACCAGGTTTAGATGTCATATTTGTCACTAGGAGACAATATTCTGTGGAGGTGGCAACATGAGACTGATATTGCAAGGATACATTCCTCAACACCACTCTGCACACTTTTCTCTGTGACCTCAGCAGCAAGGCCAAAGTGGGGAACCTGTAACGTTTCGGCTTACAACTCTCAAAATCTCTTGCCTTGGTCATGCCAACTGGAGCTGATGAGAGTTGGAGAACAAAACACTGGTTGGGCCAAAGACTCCCCACCCCTGTTGGGCTGGAACCAGGTGAGAGTTTACAAAATTGGCCCTTGGTATTTTTGGTTTACACTACTGAGAAGACTAAACATTAGAAACATAATTGCAAACCAAACAACAAGGGAAAGTTAGTATAAAAGCACATTATTAAATAATTGATCATAGAATTGTTTCAACCACTTACTTGGGTACATATTTTAATGTTAATTATGTTATTAGTATAATTATGTTTTATTTGATTATTTGTATTCTGTTTTTCAGGGAATCCCAGCGGCACAGTGGGTTTAGACCACTGAGCTGCTGAACTGGCTGACCAAAAAGTTGGCGGTTCAAATCTGGGGACTGGGATGAGGTCCCACTGTTAGCCCCAGCTTCTGCCAACCTAGCAGTTTGAAAACATGTAAATGTGAGTAGATCAATAGGTACCACTTCTGCGGGAAGGTAACGGCATTTCATGCATTCATGCTTGCCACATGATCTAGGAGGTGTCTACGGACAATGCCAGCTCTTTGGCTTAGAAATGTAGATGAGTACCACCCCCCAGAATCGGACACAATTAATGTCAGGGGAAACCTGACATTAAGGGAAACCCCTTAATGTCAGAGGAAACCTTTACCCTTTTATTCTGTTTTTCATTTTGATGTTAATTTTCTTTGCTATAAGTTTACTGTTATTATTTTGTAGTTTCTTTCTTCTGAGGTGTTTGCATTTGTTTCAGGGCATTGAATGTTTGCCTTTTTTGTGTGCAAACTGCCCTGGGTCCCCTCAGGGAGTTCAAAGGTCTATAAATATAGTTTTATTATAGAAACACCCACATTAAAGAAAAATGATCAGTAATATAGTGTTTTGTCCCTTAACTTAAGAGCCTGCAATTGTTGTTCATTAGTTCAGTCGTTTCTGACTCTTTGTGACCTCATGGACCAGCCCACGCCAGAGCTCCCTGTCGGGCGTCACCTCCCCCAGCTCCTTCAGAGTCAAGCCAGTCACTTCAAGAGCCTGCAATACCAACTCCTAAATCTGAAGATCCTACATCTGGATTTAACTCAGGGCTTAGAGAAGACAATGATGCTGGGGGAAATGGAAGAAAGAAGAAAGAGGGGTTGACCAAGGGCAAGATGGATGGATGGTATCCTTGAAGTGAGCAACAGGGAGCTCTGGCCTGGGCTGGTCCATGAGGTCCCAAAGAGTCAGAAGTGACTGACTGAATGAATGAACAGAACCTACACCTGGGTTTAATCCAGGGCTTGTTCACATGGAGTAAACAAAGCATACTGGCACACTACATCCACCAACAACAAATCTGAAAACAAAGTTCCTACTTACCCCACTTACACCCTACTAATACTGGACATGCTGCATGTCTTGTTCGGTAATCACCTTCTCCACTTCTAAAAAGGTTATACCAAAATACTGCAGTCCCCTGAGGAAAAAAGGAAAGTCTTCACTTATTTAACTACATTTACTATGAATTGTAGTTCATCAACATCTGAAAAGTTACAAGTAAACCAACACTGACAAAATTAGGTGTGCTTAGATCGCAGTAGGATAAATTCACCACAAGTTATGTCACATTCTCATCAGATGGTGACAACAGTTAACAACTGCAACTAACTTGCAAAGCAATACTATGGGGCCAGTCCACACAGCAATATAATCAAGAATATCAAGTGAGAAAATCCCACAATATTTGCTTTGAACTGGGTTATCCGAGTCCACACTGCCATATATTCCAGTTCAAAGCAGAAAATGTGGGATTTTATTCAGCTGTGTGGAAGAGGCCATGGAGATCAACGCTAAATTATGGATGAGTGAGTTCAACTGAGCTTCTCTTCAAAGAAGTCAGCACCAGACTAGAACCTACACCTGGATTTAATTCAGGGTTTGTCCACATGGAGTAAACAAAGCATACTGGCACACTACATCCATAATAGTTAATTAGCAATACATTCCTTTGAGATTTAAACTATTATAAGAAAACATTGCCTTTTAACAGAGATTTAACAGAAAATCTAGACTTTCAGGTGTGTAACCAACCCTGCAGGTGGCAAGGAGGTGTTAGTGGTGGGAGAAACTGGTAGGTGGGAGATGAGCCTTCCCTTCAGGAAGTGTCTCCTTCTTGGGTTGATTTTTTGTAAGACTGGTGTGTGCAGATGCTTGTATATCAATATGTCAAGCACTCTTGCTTGACAGAAAATAGATATATTTGCATACATGATGGGGGGGGGGGGGGGAAGCAGAGCATCCACAGCTATGTTGGCAAAGATAATGTGAAGGATTGGAAATGCAAATGGCCCTCTAACAGTGAGGTGAGTTCAGCAGGGGGAAATCTGTGGCTAGTTACAGCAATCTCACCATGAGATATGTGACATTACTGGGGTCACCACAAAGCCAATGAGAACTGGGAAAATGCAGTGCCGAACAGCATTTTCTGTCAATGTAAACTAGTTCCCAACATTTGCAAAGCTCCTTAAAACAGTGAACATCTTCCAAGGTAATAGTACTAACAAGAGCAGTTAACAGAATACTACACACAAGTGGACATAGCATAAATGAAAAAGATTTTGGTCACTATTGGGATTTTTACAGAGGAAAGTACTCTTTGAATTAATATGGCTAAGAGATAAATATAAGACTTAAGATATAAGCCAAAAGACCTCACTGTATATATGAATGATGTCAATCATGAAATAGTAAACCGAGCAGAAATAGTGTATGAACAGTAAAAATCATAGGAAACATTTAGAATGGAAACTGTACTTGTGGCAGTTTAAAGGAAAACATTAGTTACAGACCAGCTCTGCCATTACCTTTTTGGGCCAAATTGCAGCTCCAAAATCTGGGAAAACTGTGGCACCTCCAGCTTCTACATCACTCATCTAGGAAAATAAAATGTTCATAAAAGCCATTGATAAGTTTACCACTGCAGCCAACAATAGCTATAAGAGTAACCTATTTAGAAATGTATTACTTCTTTACTCTATGGAGATGTTAATCAGAGTAAAGGATTAACTGGTCTATAGCATGGAGATTTGCTAGGGTAAAAATACAAACAGAAAATAAGTACTTTAAAAGACTCTTATTAGCCAGTGGCAATTCATATTTACACAGCTCTAAATGTCAAACAGCAATAACTGACTTAAGATTTATTACACAAATAATTATTGAGTTTCCTCTCAATTGAATTTAAAGGCTCAAGTCTGTGCATGCTGAGTGTTCAGTGGGTCTTACTCCCGGTGTGTGGGTTTAGGATCATAGCCTAAATCCTTGCCAAGGTTTTTTTTTTTAATGTTACAGAGCTATTTAGTCACATGTTTCCCTTAGCCAATTGAAAACATAAACTTGGCACTAACAAGACTGCATTAATTACATGTGTCTCTGAGCAATTCATTTATGGGTCTGACACATAGCAATAAAACTGACGTGGCTCTATTTCTGTCCTAAAGTGTAATTCAGGCCAGAGGGTCTCCAATGCTGCTAACGTATGGTGTGTCCCTCGTAGTAATACTACAACGAGTGGCCCTTGATCACATGCAACAATAGGAGTCCAAGGTTCCTTTGTCTCCATATAATGTCAGGGAAGTAGTTTTTGCTAACAATCTCTCCCTACCCCTGAAACTTTGCCTGCCACAATTCCTAAAGACAATCATCCCTAGAGCTTGGCATATTAATCTGTTATCCATAATTAATTAATTTTAATTTTTAATTATTTTGTTACAAATTCCAATTAAAGCAGGCCTTCTGAACCAATGAAATAGACGGGCATGTTGACTCACTATTCAATGATGCACAGAATGATCTAATCTAGCTGGGAGTAAGCAACAGCTTGGGATCACTGGGTTGTTGTAGGTTTTTTTGGGCTATATGGCCATGTTCTAGAGGCATTCTCTCCTGACATTTCGCCTACAAGTATGGCAAGCATCCTCAGAGGTAGTGAGGTCTGTTGGAACTAGGAAAATGGGTTTATATATCTGTGGAATGACCACGGTGGCACAAAGAACTCTTGTCTGTTGGAACTATGTGTGAATGTTTCAGCTGACCACCTTGATTAGCATTTGATGGCCTGGCAGTGCCGGGGCAATCTTTTGTTGAGAGGTGATTAGATGTCCTTGATCATTTCCTCTCTGTTGTTTTGCTGTTGTAATTTTAGAGTTTTTTAATACTGGTAGCCAGATTTTGTTCATTTTCATGGTTTCCTCCTTTCTGTTGAAATTGTCCACATGCTTGTGGATTTCAATGGCTTCTCTGTGTAGTCTGACATGGTGGTTGTGAGCGTGGTCCAGCATTTCTGTGTTCTCAAATAATATGCTGTGTCCAGGTTGGTTCATCAAGTGCTTTGCTATGGCTGACTTCTCTGGTTGAACTAGTCTGCAGTGCCTTTCATGTTCCTTGATTCATGTTTGGACACTGCATTTGGTGGTCCCTATGTAGACTTGTCCACAGCTGCATGGTATATGGTAGACTGTAGATCAGATTGGGATCAGATTGGGATTTGATTTGTTTCCAAACATCAGAAATGTTGATGGCTTGAGGAAGGACAGATGTTTCACACTGCTTTAGTTACATTTGAGGAGTCATTTAGCCACTACTATTTTTGGATTATTCTATTTTTTTAACAATTCTAATTGTGCTTTTTAATTGTTTTCTTTTTTGACATAACTTGCCATTAATGCATTACAGATGGTACAGTGGTTTGAGCATTAAACGATGATTCTTGAGACCAGGGTTTGATTCCTCACCTGGCCATAGAAACCCAATAGGCAACCTTGGGAATGTCACATTCTCTCAGCACCAGAAAAGCCCAAGGTACATTTGCCTTACAATTGCCATAAAACAAAAAGGCATACAACAACAAAAGTTTTACTCAATGCAACAATTTAAGTTGATAATATGCGCCAAGATAGATTGATGGTATCCTTGAAGTGACTGGCTTGACCTTGAAGGAGCTGGGGGTGGTGACAGCTGACAGGGAGCTCTGGCATGGGCTGGTCCATGAGGTCATGAAGAGTTGGAAGCAACTGAACGAATGAACAACAAATTAGTAACATCAATCAATTAGTTTGTGAGGGAACTGGGAAAGCCACCTCTGAGTACACCTTGTCTTCTGGAGGTTGCCATACATTGACTGGAGGATTTACTCACACATGCATCATATTCTAATTTTAATTTTTAAAGGGTCTACTTAACTTGTTTTGTAGGCATTTTAGAAGTGCAATTTAAAAAATCCTATATCACACACTAGTGCAAGTTATATTCCAAAATATTTGTTATGGCTATGTAAGTCAAGATGCAAACAGGAAAATATTAATAGCATTTGCTACCTCTTGTAAAATATTTTATAATTCAACTTTTAAAACCATTTTAGAGCCATCCCAGAGGACCCACAACATCACATGTGTCAAGTTCTGGTATACGAATAGTTTGTGTGTGTGTGTGTGTACGCATATATCTCAACATGCACAAATAACAGAGTTGGAATATAATTCTCAGATGAATTCTCAGTAAAAGGTCTACTTTGAACAAAGTCTTCATTAAAATGGTAAGTCACAGTTGTTATTTTTATTGGGACAGGCACAATTGTATCATGCAACCTTGTAGTGCCAATTAGATATCTTCATAAATAAGAAAAACAAAATTTCCTTCATAGCCATCTGGGCTGCATGTGATACTGAGGGGGACAGAATTCCCACATTCCAACTCTATACACTCCCTGTTACGTTGCGTGCAACTGGTTACGCTCTGGACAAAACAGTCTCAATTCCACATGTCATACTTACATAGTTTAAAAAAGTAGCCACACGATTCCCAGTCCCTAAACGCTTGAAAGCATCAGGCTCCTCTTTCTATAAAATTAAATGAAAATAAACTGCGAGCTTTCAGCACACAGACAAGGACACAGAGATACTTACATAGTTAAGAAACGTCGCTAGCCTATTTCCTTCCGTTTTGAGTGTGCTGTCAAAGGGCCGCTGAAACAAATAACAACTTTAACCCAACTTCCAAACTGTTTGCATACTTGTCACTTTGGAAAGAGAGCTTCTGCAGCACGATCCCGTGAACATCCCTTGAAAAGCACAACCCACTGAGTCATGCCATGAGACTTAATTCCTAGGTGACAAACACGGAATTGCAGCCACAAAGTTTTGGGGTACATATTTTGACACGGTATGTTTTGTCTCAATATGGTAAAGTCGAAACTTTGTTGTTTCATCCTATGACCCAACCACTTTTACTCAAAGTAGGCACCATGTAAAGAGTGAGTTCTTGTTCTCTAACCATCTAATCAGTATGCATGCCAGATATAGATAACTTGTGGCCCTCCAAATATTGCTGGATGAGAATCCTAGCACAGAGAGGGCCTGCAACAGCAGATATGCACTTTTTATTTAAAGGCAAACAGTAGTTCAGGTGCAATGTTTTCCCAACTGCTCCCCAAAGCCCATCTGGATCTTGGATCTGGTCACCGTATGAATAGCTAGGAAAGTAAATGCCTTGTGTACCATTAAACTCAAGAGTAGTCATGACTTTAAAGTGAAGTGTTATACAAAAAGAGGAAAGATATTGAAAAGATGAAAAATGTGAACTAAAGTTCTAGTATAAAGATATCTGTACAGTGTGGAAAGAGAAAAAGAGGAGCGTAACAGATGGGAGAAAGGGACCTATGGGGTAAAGACAGAAAATAAGTGGGAGCAGAGGAGAGCTGAGAGGCATCCAGAGACAAATGGAAGCAACAGAAATAGAAAGTGGCAGCAGCAGTGAGGCTCTTGGGATGCTATAGTACAGATCAGTACTCCAGAATAAAAACAACCGTAACGGGAAACAGACCTGAGGAAAAGCCTGAGGTCAGGAAAACGCCAAAGAGCAGTTAACAGAGGTGGGAGCTCAGACCTGAGGAGGCAGACAGAGTATGCCCTGTGTGTGTTAAAGCAGGGATGGGAATTGTGCAGCCCTTTAGATATTATTGGACTGCAAGTCCTAGCATGCTTCTCCACTGGCCACATTGGGAAGGTGCAATTCAACAACACCAAGAGGGACAGCCTGATTCCTGCCCTTGTGTGAAAGGGAGAAGATGAAAGCTTAACAGAGAATTCAGGGAGATCTTTAGCTCTGTTGAGAAAATGCTGTATAGAATACAGACAGAACTGTGTTAAAATTGTAACAAGATGTTTTGTGTATAAAATTGGCATGTTCTTATAAAGTTGACATGTTAATAAAAACTATAAAGTGGCCTTCAGAAAGGTTTAAGTTTTACTGGCCCTTTTTAGACGAATCTACATTAGGACCACATAGCAAAACAACTTCATAAAATGTGTCCAAGAAAGGAAATAAACAAATGGCTGCAGAAATGCCTGAAAAACTTTAATCACCACAAAGCAATTGCAAACAGCTTCAAGTTTTAATCCATGTTGCACACAGAGCCTGGAGGACCAGTCCAAACCGCTCAAACAAATCTATCCGTTGACTTTCCTTAACTTTGGCAGTTCACTATCAGCTGAATTCCAAGAGCGACTCCCCCCTAGCCAAATTGTCCAAGAGCAAAGATATGTGTTGCTTGTGTCAGTGCCTACATTTCTTACTTAATTATGAACTGCTTTAACTTCCTGCACAGAAGGAGGTACACTTCCCCAACATTCAAGGAAGAAATGTATGTCAGAGGACCATCCAACCTAGGCCAATGAAGTGATAGAGAAGTACTGCCCCTTCCCTCCTATTATAGAAGAAGGAACTGTGAAACCCTCCCCCAGCATATTCCTTGCCTAAGAAACCCTTATGAAATTCATGATGTCACCATAAGTTGACAGGCAACTTAGATGCTCATGAACACATATTCACACACACCACTTTAACAAGTTCAATACAGATTTGCCAGATGGTGAATGAGAAGTGGCTTCAGGACTTTCAACAATGACAAAGATTTCCCACTTGCATGTACTTGCTTATAGCAAACAATCATGATATAGAGACCAATCCAATAGTGTCTGAGCGCAAAAGTGCAAACTACCAGAAAGAAAAGCAAAATTAGATTCTAACAGCTTCTCAAAACATCTGTAAAACCAAGCTGTTAGAAATGTTATCTGAAAATAAAGGGCTAGGAAAGCTGTCACTAACAGATTTATGGTATTCCAGACTGCCTTAAAAAGAAAGAGGAGAATGTTTCTAGAAATTAAAATGGGCAGCTATAAAATATGAACAACTTTCATTTGCATGCTTATCTGTAGACTTGAAGGATACAGGGACAAACTAAAGATGTTTTCCACAGAAAATACCTGAAGTGAAAACAACTAACTTGCCTCTGTGGCTTATATGTGCTTGGAAGCCTCCCAGGGGCTATGCCTCTCTGGGTTTTCAAAAATGCACACATGTCATCCACATTGCTTGACTCAGAGAAAGCAATACTAACATGAATATACTTGCAGCAATTATGTCTACCATACAGAGACTGGAACTGCCAGGACCATTTAATTTCAGAACTCCTAAGTAGTCTCCATGTGAGTCTAGAAACCGTTTTGTTACTCTAAAGATATGCACTCTCCAAACAAAATGTCACATGGAATGCACAGTTAACCCATGTAATTTTTCTGATGATATTACATTGAAGGAAAAGCATAATGTAATGATCTCAAGCTCTGAGAGTCTCCCTGGCAACTTCATTAAAAAAAACCCCTTCCATTAGCACAATCAAGGTGATGGTCACCATGAAGATGAAGTTAAACAAGAGATGACATTGAGGTATTTCTGCACCTCCTGAGATCTTAATCTCTGCTTAAAAAGCAACTGTTGGGCTGTTGGGGGGAATCTGATCAGAGTTGAAGCACTAAAGAGAGGGAAAGTCAATTCCAATCTCTGCCTTGCACCATCTCCTAAAGGTAGGTCACCTCATTGTTGCATTTTCTTCCCAGTCCCCTCTGTAGCCAATGGCTACTAGGATTCATTGTTGGAGGCAAATTCAACCAGGAAAGAGGCAAAGGGAAAAAATATTTCTATCCTTGTCTGCCCATCAATCCATCTAGTCCTTTCCCAGAGCTGCTTCTGAGTGAAGCAAGAAAGACATCAGAGTCAATTATGTATGCTTAGCAGTAAAAAAAAAACAATTGAGACACTTACCCTTGAGAAGTCAAAGTGTGGCTCATACTGTCCTCCCATGCCATAATTTGCAACCTAAGACATGGCAGGAAATGAAAGTTGTTCAGCAAAACCAGGCTTAAGGAAATAAGAGATTTATTATGTGCACCAACAGAAAAACCTAGATTGTGATGACATTCATCATCAGAGACTTATTCTTGTTTTGATTAACTTTACAAAGCTTTAATGGCTTTAGGGACAATAAGAGAACAGATCCCTGGTTATCTATAATATACACACAGGACAAACATAGGAAAAGTAGGAAAAGAATATGTGATTTGGAAAGTTTTATGTTAATAGGTTTAGTTGCAGCCTTCCCAAATTTAGCACCTTTTCAGATATATTTGACTTCACCTCTTGTCATTCACAGGCAAAATGGCCAAGTGATCTAGAGAAGGTGGCATCCCATAGCTACCACAGGGCAGGGATTGACAGGGAGCAGGAGATCTTTGGCCAGCTGCCTAACCCTCATTTTATGGTAGGATCTCCAGCACTTTATTCTCAGCCTCGGCCCTACAGTTTGCATTTACACTAAACCATCTTGTGTCCCAGTTTGGGGAAAAGGTGGCACATAAACAAACATACAAAAAATTGTGCCGAGGGAGTAAGGCTCAAAGTCATTTCTTTTTACAATGTTTTAAAGCTGGAGAATGTCAGCCAGTGGCAGAATAAATATGGGTAACAAAAGAGAGAATTCAAAAGTAAAGCTAAGTTTCATGCTGTCCAACTGAATGAATGGGCAGTGCCGGAGAATAAAGGGAGAAGGGCTTGCGGGGAAAAATGATAGCTGCATGAGGGATAATGGACATAAGTTTGAGATAACAGACACTAAATATCCAAGAGAAATACAGACAGTGAATGGGACAGAGGGAAATTTCCATGAAGAAAAATTGACTTGTGTATTTTAATATGCATTTTATGGAAATATGTTTTAATATGTGCATTTTATAGGGTTTTTTTTAATGGTTATGTGTTTTGATTATGTGTTTTAGCAATATTGCAACCTGGCTCAAGTCATGAGGAGAGTCGGGTAAGAAATAAAATGATTACTATTGTTGTTATTGTTGTTTACCACTTTGAATTCCAGCATATTTCTGTCCTGGACAGATTTCAAAAATAGCAACTGAAGGAGACAAGGTCTTCATTCTTCAACACAGGAGCAGTTCCTACTAGTCTAGATAACCAAAACATTCATTTTGTACATTTTTCTATCTGCAAGATGCTACACAAATGTTTAGTATTTGTTATTCTAATGTTCAGAACTGAGTTGACTCCACTCAAAGAAATATGGAAATGTATGAATGGTAAAAAAAAAACCGACTTAAGTGGAAGCTGATCATTATCCAAAGTAGTAATTTGCTGGACAAGACCTGGTTTACTCTTTTATTGGCAACAGTTTCCACGTAAAAACAGTTCTCATTATCATGTTCTTGCTAAACAATCAAGAAAGGAAGATAATCTCTCTTCCTCTCTTCCATTTTATAATTCATGGCTTGTCAGAGTTAACAAGCTCATGATAGTTGACCTGTACAGACTCAAGTATTTATTTATTTATTTATTTGCCGTATTTATATCCCACCTTTCTCAGTCCGAAGGCGACTCCAGGTGGCTTACAAGTTGGCAGCAATTTGATGCCACAACAAACATAAAATACAGTTTAAAAACATTTAGCATAATATTTTAAAAAACATACAAAACCATTAAAAACATATGATCATCAGTGTCTTCTTATTAAACTCATTTTCCAATTGCTTTGTCTAAACTGCTCCGTAGTTCCATATTTACCTATTATCCTGCATTTCCAAAAGCATGTTCAAAGAGCCAGGTTTTGACTTTTTTACAAAATGTCAGGAGGGAGGGGGCCAATCTAATATCCCTAGGCAGGGTGTTCCACAGCCAAGGGGCCACCACTGAGAAGGCCCTGTCTCTCGTCCCTACCACAACAGCAACTGCTTTAAGCTATTTGTTTTTAATTTTAACTATTTGCAGAGGGAGAAACAGGTAATGTTGTATTTTAGTCCTTACCTGCAATAATTCAGCTGTTTTCACTGTTAATCCTGTGATGTGTTCCATTCGCTGATTCACTTTGGCAACAATCAAATCATCCTCTTCTTCAAGCCAGGAACTGAAGAAAAATGTTTCAAAGATTTAGCAAGTTCTCTCAGATTGTTGGAGAATCAAGTACATTATTTCTTAACCTATTTGTAAACCCTTTTGGACTGGTGGTTAATACTGATAGACTTACTTGTAAAGGTGCTGATGTAATAATAAAAATTGAAACCCCAAATCTCAATATTATCTAACAGCAGCATGAAAAACCATTTCAAAACATGGGCTAATAAACAACCAGATGTACAAAAATGCGAAATACTTCAAACAGCTCCTTATTTGCAGAACTTCAGTTATTATACGATTTAAGTATATATATATTTCAGTATTAGAGCTGCATAAAAAAAGAAATCCTAAAATCCAATTTTTCCATGTTTCATTTAAAAAAAATACATGGAAATTACTTGTAAGAAAGAGGGAATTGTATTACCTTTTAGACACTCGGTAGTTGGCAACAGTTAATACACCTGTTTTGGGGTCACGTACAGTAGCCCTTGCCAACTGTATTAAAAGAAATACAAGTTTTAATACCTGAAATAGCACAGAATGCATCATAGAAATGACTTAAGCTCCATCTTTTGTTTTGCATTTACAATTAAATGAAAATTGTGTGAAAATGCTTACAAGGAAAAACAATATAAATAATAATAATCATATTTACAATCCATAAAAAGTTAAAACTAACGCAGCCAAAACATCAAATCAGAAGAAAACTAAATCATGATGCCTTCGAAAAAATAAAGCACAAAACCACGTTAACTCAAAAAATCCTCAAACTCAAATGTCATTTTGTTGATTTTGAAGCTCCCAAACTCAAGATAAAACAAATGTTAGTTTATCATATTAGAAACAGAAGCTGCTACGAGTGTCCAGAGAAAGAAAGACTGGGGTGAGAATGGGGCATCAGAAGGCCTTCATGACAGATGAGTGAACATAATAGTTCAACCATGTTTGATTAGAAGGTACTATGATATGAATCAATGACATTTGGCTAAAATGTACTAAATCCCTTAGAATCTGCGTCTAACCATTATGATGTTTTTTTTCACTTCCATGTTTAAGAATGTTTTCCTCTATTTCCTTTCATTTGCCTCATAATCCACCTTTTAATTTTCTTGTCTTGGCACATAGCTTTTGGCAGGGTTGAATGCCAGATTTCTGACTCATCTGCTATTCTCTTGCAGGCTCTTGTATTTATTACAAATCATGGCCAGAAACTCAGTGTGCTAAATGTTAGCTGTACAATAAAGATTTTCTTGCCGTATATAATTCTGAATGCCTCATTATGCTTATAGTCATCTTAGCTTCTCCATATGATTCCTGTCTGTGGGCTCCAGTCACCCTTAACAAGACATAATTTCTCCAAATACAGCCTTGTATTAATTAATGATGAGTGAAAGTCCCCTCTGCTCAGCTTAAAAATGGTTTAGCAGTTCTGAGCATCACTGCACAACTTCCCCCTGCTTTAAAGTTCCAAACTGACTAGTAATTTTCACTGGGTTGTTTCACATTAAAGTCTAGGGATGATTCCAAATTGTGAATCCAGAAAATCCGTATTTTAACATCACAATAAAAACCTGGTGGGGGAATTTTTCTGTTTGTATAAATGTGAGTCTGCATGAGTGGAAAGTCAGAGATGGAAAATAAAAATCTCATCCAACTTGATGTTGTGCATATTTGACAGGCAAACTACATGTTTTGTAAATCTGATGCAATTAATTTTCTTGCCAAAAGATCGATTCCTCTATAAAAATTTTATCCACTCGATTTAAGTAATAAATGAATAAAAATGGCATTTAAATAAAAACAGCCCTACAAATTTTACCCCAGTGGTTTCGAAGTATACTAATATGTAAATTTTAAGAGGATTGTAATCAGCATTTTAAAAAAATGATATTATTGTTGGATAAAATGCATCTACTCAAAACCTAGCAAATCCCCTTTCAGATTAACACCACGCTAAATCTCAAAAACTCTAAAAATGATGTCTTCATTTCAAAACTAGAGATGGCTTCACACATACATTTATCATGCCTCAGAAAGAAATACGTTCCCACTTGCACACAACACTATGCATGGGATGCCTTCCTTTTTAATCATATGCATGGAAAACCTTTCAAATTTGCCCAGCACCCTTTGATACCTAGGCAGAAGGGAGTGGTTTGTTTGTTTTTTTAATGAATGAAGTAATGGTGAAACATTAGGAAAATATCTAAGTTTATAGAGGTGAAACCACAGCATAGTGAGAAGAATGTCAGCCATGGAAACTGGCTGGTACACAAAGAACTATGGATTTAGAATATCTGAAAGAAAACTCATGTTCTCTAAAAGGTTTCATTTTCCTCTTCCATTTTCATTAGCTCCTTTATATCTGGGATGAAGAAAGTGTGACCTTAAAGCTGCAATGTGGACCTGACACAGTTGCCCACCCATGCTATACATCACCATTTGTTCAGTAATAATGAGGCAGGGTTGCAGTCACTCCAGACTCCATATTATGAACAATAAACTCCTGAATAGTCGCAGTATGGCAGTTAAGAGAAATCATCATCCAGGTCAGTGCTTCTAAACCTTTGGTCCTCCAGATGTTTTGTACTTGGCCTCCTAGAAACTCTAGCTTCATTGGCTTTGCACTTTGCTTTGAAGCACAAAGGATATGAAGGACCACAGGCTAAGAACCACTCAGCCAGGTTCTTCTGCAATGAATATGCTTTCGCTGTCATTCTGAGACACGTCATGTTTGAAAATGAAGAATGAGGAGTTGAATATAGTTCACTGCAAGAGAGCAGGTCTCTCTGAAAGGGAGCCTAGGATTCCCTCGGCAGCCTCATTGAGGTAAAATAAATTATGATTCAGTGCTCAGCAATATTAGAACTTGTACACGCTTCTCTTTTCCTTTGTCAAAACAGCAATAATACTCTTTTTTCAGTGGGGTTGTGAATTTGCTCCAGATTTTAGTCCCAATTTTAAAGGACTTCATTAGAATTCTGAACTTTATCTCCAAAGCCCAAAACAGTTGATAGCTCCTCCAGAGTTCAGACTGAAGCTAGGAGCTGACTGAATGCCCACTGACATGGGAACCATCAGCATGCCAACTGTTTCTATTTCAAATCAGAACAGCTTTGTAGCTGTAATACAGAGAGCTCAGCAGACAAATTAATTGAGCATCGGGACTATTATAGAACAGTGAGAGGAGAAAAGGGGCCAGTAAAGAAGAGAAGTTTGTCATTAAAAAAGCCCAATATAAATGTTGTTCAATCTAGTTTCTTGCCATGCTGCCCAAACTAATGAATAAAACATTTAAGCACATATTATTTAGTCAAGAGCTGGCAGACATTTACATTATATGGTTTTGCAATCAAAGGAAGAGAATTTTGAGCATGAACAGGGTAACATATATGCCACCCAAGATACGATAATTCACTTCCATAGAGTTGATGAAAAACAGAGCAAGTGGTTGGATCCAAGAATTACAATGAGAGTACAAGAGAGAGAAGAAGAGAGGGAAGGAAGGAGAAACAAGGGATTTGTACTGATTTTGCTGAAGGTTTGAGGAGAAATGCTCAATGGACCAGCATGGATATCCAGAATTGTGATTTGAGACTGGATTCAAGGCCTGCTGTAACTTCTCATGAACATAGTGGTGACATATATGTTGCCCTCCAGGTGTTGCTGAATTCCTAACAGCCCTAGTAAGAATAGCTAATGGTGAAGGGTTATGTGATCTGCAGGCCACCAATTGACACACTTTTCCTCATCCCAGAGTTAACCAGACATTATCACCAGTGCAGATACTATAATATTAACTGGCAGAAGCAGTCTACTTACTTTTGGTTTGGCCAGCTCCTTAATCTTCTCTATTTCTTCATCAGATAAGACGTCGTAGTATCTAACAATGTGTGGACTATCCCACTCATCTTCTTCTTTAAAGGGTGCAATAAGTAGGTGAGGATTTTGGTTTCCATTGTGGTACCTACAAAATAACCTCTTCTGTCTTCGAGGTGTCTGTGAACAGATTCAGATTAATGATAATGTTTTGTTGGTTAATTCTAATTCAGAAAAGGTTTACAGAAAACTTCTAACATGTAAATACATGTTCAAAGGACCCAGGGATGGTTTGTAAAAATCTTACCTGCTAAGCTACTGGCTTGCCTATCAATAGAAGGCCCTCACCCCATGGACTCACTTAGCACTTAAGATACAGTGTTTTTAATAGCAAGCAAAAGCTTTTCCATTTTCCCAGCCCTTATAAGAACTATTTTAGTGCACATATACTCTTATCTTGCTTTTAATTAAGTCCCAGCATGATTTTTTTTTGGCTGCTATGTGGCATTTTGTTGTTTATTCTGTTTCCTTAGTCTTTGTTTCATGGAATTATCTGATATATTTTATATTTCACTGCAGCCATTTTCCCACCCAGGCATTGAAAAGGACCTCTCACTACTCTTTCACTCAAGCAGAAGCATTAACCTCCTCCATTCCCTCTTGCAACCTTCTGGCAGCAACTGCATCTCTTTGGTGTTTCCCCACCTCTACTCCCTCTCTCTTGTGGCTCTATTGGGGCATTTCAAACTCTCTCAGCTCTTGGATGGTCAAAGCTCATTCTGTGGTGAGAGAGCCTAAAAAAACACCACTTTTGCTCTCTCTGCCACAATTGGGAAGTCCCAAGAGAGCTGTTGAGGAGAGAGCAGAGGCAATTGTCATTTATGTCTTCCTATCACTCCTTGTTGCTATTTGGAAAAGGCACTTCTGGGCCTAAAATGGGCCAGGAAGCCTCACAATCATAATGAAATCATCTCCCTCGTCTTCTAGATCACCACTTATTAATCTGTGGGTCCCGATCCCAGATGGGGCCACCTTGGCTCAATAGTCATGAAAAGTCATGAAAAATTTGGCAACAGTAAATGTTTTCTGAGCATCACTGAATGGCCATTGTAGACATTTACACAAATCTATTGCATAGTTTTTACAGTGGACTACACAGAAAATGCTTCAACTGTACTTAATAGAAAGGAAAGTCAGCCTGTTTAGCCAATACTGATATGTTATCAGTAAGTGTTGGGTTTTTATACCTATTTAATTTATCTATATACCCAGGGTCAAGTAAACATTTCTCACGTGGAAAGTGGTTGCAAGTGAAAAAGTTTATGAAGCCCTGTTCTAAATGATATTTGGTGGTATTTTTCTCACTTTTTTGTGGAAGCAAGGGAAAAGCTAAGTTTGTGCCAACTTAGTTGAGGAATGCATTCTCACAGGAAACAGTACAGCACAAGGGTTAGAAGCTGTAAGCCTTTGGGCTTCTCTCTCACCATTTTCACACCTTCACCTCTGCAAAGGGCCTCATAGATCTCACGTTCTGGCAGGTAGTCCCGAGGCCTTTCATAAATCCCATTATATGTTGTTGGCTCTGTTGCATTTGGGGCATCACCAAGAGCCTTTTCATTTTTTTCATTCTCCAGCAGTTTCTCGAAATACCGCATGTTGCTCCCTGCCCTCTCATGACTGGGGTCTTGATTGGGGGAAAAAGATGGAGAAGGAAATCAGTGGAAGTCATAGATTCACAACACTCTGAGAAGAGTGCCTGCATTGGGCGAGAATTGTTTCCTTGTTTATTACTCCAGGGTGACTTTCAAGAAATAAAACAAAATCAGAACAGGATTCTCCAGAATTTATTCAAATAACAATCTTGATTTGGTTTGAAACAGACTAAGATAAGCAAGAGCTCAAAGCAAATGATTCAAAGCTATAAGAGATACCATCAAGTACTTACCACATATAAAATCTCTTTGCTTTAGAGCAGTAGGTCTCAACCTGTGGTTCCCCTGATGTTTTGGCCTTCAACTCCCAGAAATCCTAACAGCTGCTAAACTGGCTGGGATTTCTGGGAGTTGTAGGCCAAAACACCTGAGGACCCATGGGTTAAGAACCACTGCTTTAGAGAGTCACACATTCTAAAATGAAAGAAATTGTTAATTCATTTTCATGTGAAGTACTCAACAGAACATTCCAGCCCTAGCAAAACAAATACATTATGCAATTGTGCACTGCCTCAGAATGGAAAACCATCCCTCCACAACTGCTGAGGTTAGGGGCATAGGACCCTTACAAAGTTTGTGGGGGGGGGGAGGGAGTAAAAATTGCTATTATTGTTTTGCCTGAGAGAACACCTCTCTAGAAAATCTCAAGGTCCTCCAGTGTGATTCCCTGCCAGCTACCCCATCTGCCTATCTAAGACCTTGGTGAGGCCTACAGGATGTGGTAGAGTTCCAACACAGAGAACATTGTCACACCTGTTATTTTGGGTGACCAGACAAGTGACAAAGCCTCCAGTCACTTTGTAGACCATTCTGTGTGTGTAGTTGTTCTGGGGTGGGGAACTTTCTAAACAGCCTTCTGTAATCTCATATAGTTGTGGTTGTGGGGTATTTTTAAAAACATTGAAGTGGGTTTTTTTTAAAAAAAAACTGTCAGCCAAGGCTTTTGAAAAATTCAAGTGAGTTCAAGAAATTGTAGTACACTCCACAAAGAATTATATGAGGACTACAAGCTGTATTAGTTCCATCCCTGATTTACTGTAACAAAAATGCAAAACATTAGGTGCCATGAAATGGAACTGTGCCTGAGTTGCAGCTAATGTTCCATGCCATTTGAAATCTATACATGCACAATGTCCTTCTTACCAAGGGAGATCAACCGCCTGGTAAGCTCCACTGCCCTGTGTATGTCACCAAGCTGGAAAATGGCGTAGCTGAGGTAATCCAGGATGGTGGCTTTCGTAATGGTTGCCTCTTCGCCCCGGTCGTGTTGCTTCAGCGCCTGCTCCATCCACAGGACAGTGTGGTAGTAATCTCCATCATTATATGCCGTCTTTCCCATGCCAAAGCAGTCGTCCACTGTCAGGAGTGATCTGTATTTTGTTCCTGCAGTGAAGGTAAGGACACATTTAAAAGAGTTTCCTCAATGCTAAATTCATCTGGAATGACTCTTATTTTATTGTTCCTTTTCCAAAGGGTTTAGACAAAACAGAATCATCCCTAAGAGAAAATCATGGGTTAATGTTCATACACTAATATGATTTATAAATTGCTGTCCTGTCCACAAGTGGCCTCAAGTTTTGTTTTTTTGTTTTTTTGTCGTGTCAGGAGCAATCGCTCCTGTTGTGAGAGAATTGGCCATCTGCAAGGACGTTGCCCAGGGGACGCCTGGATTATTTTTGATGTTTTATCATCCTTGTGGGAGGCTTCTCTCATGTCCCCACACGAGGAGCTGGAGCTAATAGAGGGAGCTCATCCGCCTCTCCCCGGATTCAAACCTGCAACCTGTCAGTCTTCAGTCCTGCCGGCACAGTGCTTTAACCCACTGCGCCACCGGGGCTCCGCCTCAAGTGATATACAATAAAATACATCTTAAATTTGTTTCAAAATGAGATTAGAAGCTAATTTAAAAATTGAATTTGAAAAATGCAAGGCCAGATGAAATATTCACATTTTTACAGTCCATTGGAAGCTCAGCAAGTTAAGTGAGGAGCAGTCACCTCTTCAAAGCTCAATGCTGACTTTGGGCAAATCTCCCCTACTTCTGTCCTTCAGCAGAGAAGTGCAGCAGAGTCTGTTTGGCTTTGGAAACCTCTGGGGTAGAACTCCTAGATATCTGATAAGGATAACCTATCTAACTATGGATCTGGAAATGAATAAAAACTAGCATGGGACCAGCATAGGAGAGGAGCTACAACATAGGAAACAATTTTAAGGTCTAATGGCTCACTCAGTTGTAGTTTACCAGTAAACAGGACACTCAGAAAGGATCACCACGTTTATTGAAGCTGTCAAGTAGCTTCCAACCATCACCTGGAAATTCTCCTTTTGAAATTGTTTCAGGATCCAGCTTGTAGGTGTCTTGCAAGCGCATTAATGCCTTGGCAGCTCCCGTCTCATCTTCTTCATTTGGGAAGAACTGACGCTGGACTGTGAGATTTGCAATAAAACCTTTATTTGAACAAAGACGGAAACAGTTAGCACCATGCTCCTCAAATGCATATAATCAATACCAGACCAATCCACAATTGGGACCATCTGGTTTAAGCTACAGCTTATCCCTTGTGGTATTCAAATAGTTGGAATTTAAAACATAAACAATGGTCTCGTTTTGCTTTCTAAAATTATACAAAATACATTGTTCTTCTCGTTTGGCAAAAGAGATTTTTAAAAATCCTTGAGTGAAACATGCAAAAAGGCATCAAGAGGACAAGTTCTGTACCCGCAAGCAAATAAAAATCTCCTCTAGCTATTTCATGGTGGAGTTCATCGGTAGAAACTGGTCTCAATATGTAACAAGCCCAGTTTGGATGTAGTCTTAGGCTTGGGAACGACCTTTTCTCCCCTCCTGCCTGACATGGAGAATCACGGTTTGCCTTTACATCTCAAATGGAAAACTATAATTCACCTTCTAAACAGAGCAGGAAATCCATTTGAAACTATGGTTTCCAGTTTGATGTGAACCTTGGTTTTCCCACCAAAAAAATGAAAAAAAAAATTGTCAGTTTGGACCCAAAGGAATAATGATTTGCCCTAGTCAGTGAGTTGGAGAATAGGAGTAAAAGAGGAGGAGGAAGGAGGCAAAATGTGTGACTTATTTGGCTATGATGTAATACCTCAAATTAAAAACAAGTGCTGAATTTCAATATCATCATCTCAGTTTATAAAATTCAACTGGAAGGAATGCCAACCATTACATATTACAGACATGATGCATTGTTTAGCCACGTATGCATTTTAAAGTACAGTACCAATTATTCTCCTGACACTCTAAAAAGCCATGCTAAGCCCTCACATACAGGGCTTTCAGAAGCAAGGCTTTCCAGAAGTCAGTAGACATGTATCAGGGAAATTCAACACAGACCAAAATGGAAACAGTTGATGAAAAAATCTGGACCAGATTTTTCATCCTAAGTGGGGTCAGAGGGGTCCCAACAATGAGGAGCTATAGGAGTTGTAGCCCAACACATACTGCTGGGCAAGAAACTCAAAAGCAAGATCACAGTAAGTTATTCAGGTCACTTTGGGGCATTAAACTGAAACGGGTAGTAAGAGGTCAGACTGAATAGGCTTTATGATGAATCCAAAGGTAAGCAAGGGAAAAAAATGAATGGAAAGAAATGTCAAGTTTCAAACTTCAACCAACCCATTACTGTGACCGAGCAAGCAACCTACAGCCACAATTCCTCCACTGTCTATCAGCCTTAGAAGGCAAAGATCAGTGCAAGCTGTTTCATAACAGACCCTGGGATATGCCTGGCTGTGTTTCAAGTACTCCCTTCACATACGGCCAATATCTTAAAAGCAATGGAAACACAAAACATTGTGTACAGTGAAATCTTTTTCTTGTGTTTCAGCATGTCTTTTTCTGTCAGTGAACAAAGTGATTTTCTCTTGTGCTCTGAAAGCTTCAACAAGTTCATTTTTATGGCAAACTGTTGCAGCATATGCTTCAAGTCCTGGCTGAAAAAGCACACTTCAAAACTGCTACATTTTTAGCAAGAGCACACACACAACCTCTCCCAAAACCATATGTGGTTGAATTCTGAGAAACTACACTTCCTCCTTGACACTTAACCATTTTTTAAAGTCTGTCTTATAAAAAAAACTGCTCTAGAAAAAAAAACAGTATTATACACAAAACATTCAAAGAAGTAAAACCAGAAAACATAGTTCTTCAAATATTAATTGTAAGTTCACATCTTAATAGTAGAATTTAACCAACACATGTCAACCTGTGTCACAGAATTAAACACATGATGTAAAAATAGATTTGTAAAGATTTATTGCATCTCCATTTATGTTTTTGTCTATCTATTTATCTATCTACCTAGATAGGGGGGGGGGAGGAGGGGAAGCAAGGGAGTTGGCAGGGACCAACAAACCAAACATCTAATGAAACAGACATTAAGACCCTGGTTTGGGACCGCGGCATGGAGGGGGGGAGGTGTTCCACTAGCCGAGGGGCCCCCATAGAGGTCGTGGTGGGAAGGAGGAGATGCGGAAAAAGGAGACCTCGAATTCGGCTTAATTCGGACCGCTTATCAAAATTAGTAATCCCAAATCGGTCTCCTAAGGTAAATTGGTGTAACCAGGTGAGCGGGCCCTCTGGATTGAAGGTGGTGCTGCTGAACGCCAGATCTGTCAACGGAAAAACGACCTTTATCCAGGATTTAATCCTGGATGAGCGGGCAGATCTGGCGTGCATTACGGAGACCTGGCTGGATGAAGCTGGGGGTGTGAATCTCACCCAGCTTTGTCCTCCAGGTTTCTCCGTACAGCACCAACCGAGATCCGGAGGACGGGGAGGCGGGGTTGCAGTGGTCTATAGAGATTCCATCCATCTGACCAGGAGCCCCATCCCGCAGACCACAAATTTTGAATGCGTCCACCTGAGGGTGGGTGACCGGGACAGAATAGGGATTCTGCTAGTGTACCGTCCACCTCGCTGCACTACAGTCTCCCTACCTGAGCTAGCGGGGGTTCTCGAGCCTGGCGTTGGAGTCTCAACGGCTTCTCGTGCTGGGAGACTTCAATATCCATGCCGAGGCGACCCTCACAGGAGCGGCTCAGGACTTCATGTCTGCCATGGCAACCATGGGGCTGTCCCAACAAATATCTGGCCCCACCCACCTGTGCTGGACATACATTGGACTTGGTTTTCTGCCAGGGATGGGAGCAGGGTGGCGGTGTGGAGGAGTTGTCTATCTCTCCGTTGCCATGGACCGACCACTTCCTGATCAGATTTAGGCTCACTGCACCCCCTAACCTCCGCAAAGGTGGAGGACCCATTAAGATGGTCCGCCCCAGGAGGCTTATGGATCCGAATGGATTCCTGACGGCTCTTGGGGATTTTCCCGCCTCCTCGGTAGGTGACCATGTCGAGGCCTTGGTCGCTCTCTGGAATGGGGAGATGACCAGGGCAATTGACACGATCGCTCCGGAACGTCCCCTCTCAAGTAGCCGAGCTAAACCAGCCCCTTGGTTTACTGAGGAGCTGGCAGTGATGAAGCGAAGGAAGAGGGAACTGGAGAGCGTGTGGCGTTCAGACCCAAGCGAGTCAAATCGAACACGGTTTGTGTCCTTTTTAAGGGCATACGCCGCGGCAATAAAAGCTGCAAAGAAAACCTTCTTTGCAGCTTCTATTGCGTCTGCAAAGAACCGTCCGGCGGAGTTGTTTCGGATTGTCAGAGGCCTTTTAAATCCCGCCACCTTAGGTGGAAGCCCTGACAATTCGGCATCTCGCTGCGAAGCTTTTGCCCGGTTCTTTGCAGACAAAGTCGCTTTGATCCGCTCTGGGCTGGACGCCACATTAAATGCAGTCTCTGTGGATGTGACACAAGCACCTGCTTGTCCGATTTTGTTGGATTCTTTTCAGTTTGTGAAACCCGAGGATGTGGACAAGATACTTGGAGGAATGAGACCCACCTCGTCCATCCTAGACCCCTGCCCATCCTGGCTTCTGAAGGAGGCCAGAGGGGGATTGGCCGAGTGGGTAACGGTGGTGGTTAATGCCTCCCTTCGGGAAGGCAAGATTCCAGCGTGCTTAAAACAAGCAATTATAAAACCGCTGTTGAAGAAACCATCACTGGACCCCACTAAATTTGACAACTTTCGGCCTGTTTCCAATCTCCCCTTTTTGGGCAAAGTCATGGAAAGCGTGGTGGCCTCACAACTCCAGGTATTCTTGAGAGACACGGATATTCTGGATCCGGCACAGTCTGGTTTCAGACCGGGACATGGTACCGAGACGGTCTTGGTCGCCTTAGTGGATGATCTGCGCCAGGAGCTAGACAGGGGGAGTGTGTCCCTGTTGGTGCTCCTGGACCTCTCAGCGGCCTTCGATACCGTCGACCACGGTATCCTTCTGGGGCGCCTTGCGGAAATGGGCCTTGGGGGCACTGTTCTGCAGTGGCTCCAGTCGCCGCACCCAGAAGGTGTTATTGGGGGACACCTGTTCGACACCACAGTCATTGACCTGTGGGGTTCCACAGGGCTCAATATTGTCCCCCATGTTGTTTAACATCTACATGAAGCCGCTGGGCGAGATCATCCGGAGTTTCGGGGTGCGGTGTCATCTGTACGCAGATGATGTCCAACTCTGTCACTCCTTCCCACTTGCTACTAAGGAGGCTGTCGAGGTCCTGAACCGGTGCCTGGCCGCTGTAATGGTCTGGATGAGGGCGAACAAACTGAAATTAAATTCAGACAAGACAGAGGTACTCCTGGTCAGTCGCAAGGCCGAACAGGGTATAGGGTTACAGCCTGTGCTGGACGGGGTCGCACTCCCCTTGAAGGCGCAGGTTCGCAGCTTGGGTGTGACCCTGGATTCATCTTTGAGCCTGGATCCCCCGGTTTCATCGGTGACCAGGGGAGCATTTGCACAGCTTAGGCTCGTGCGCCAGCTGCGCCCGTATCTTGGGAAGTCTGACTTGGCCACGGTAGTTCACGCTCTGGTCACATCCCGCCTTGACTACTGCAACGCTCTCTACGTGGGGCTGCCCTTGAAGACGGCCCGGAAGCTTCAGCTAGTCCAGCGCGCGGCAGCCATGTTACTAACGGGAGCGGGACGCAGGGAGCATACAACGCCCTTGTTGGCCCAGCTCCACTGGCTGCCGATTTGCTACCGGGCCCAATTCAAGGTGCTGGTGTTATCCTACAAAGCCCTAAACGGTTCCGGCCCAAAATACCTTTCAGACCGCATCTCGGCCTATGAGCCCACGAGGACCTTGAGATCATCTGGGGAGGCCCTTCTCTCGATCCCGCCCGCCTCACAGGCACGCCTGGCGGGGACGAGAGAGAGGGCCTTCTCAGTGGTGGCCCCCCGGCTGTGGAACGCCCTCCCTGTTGACATCAGACAGGCGCCCTCCCTCATGGCTTTTCGTAAGAGCCTAAAGACCTGGCTATTCGAGAAGGCATTTAATTGAGAGCCACATGAATCTGGCAATGACACTTGGAACGGACTACGGACTATGAGATTGGCTATTGATTCTATATGTGATGGCGCGGATTTTTTAGTGTGATTAGATTAATGTGCAATTTGATTGTTGATATACTGTATGTTTTGTAGACTGTTTTTTACATGTTGTACACCGCCGCGAGTCGCCCCAGGGCTGAGAGCGGCGGTCAACAAATGAAGTAAATAAATAAATAAAATAAATAAATAGTTCCTACTGATAGTCCATCTTTTCTCCAAGGTAGCCTACCTGGATCTCCTCTTCCTCAACAATCCTGTGAGCTGGGTCAGGCTAGGAGGCAAAGTAACTCTCCTGGATCACTCTGGAGTTAGAACCTGGAGATCCCAGGTCCTACTCCAGCACTCTAATATGCTACTTACCAGTAGTCTGCAAGACTGGGGACTTCAAAGCACATAATTATAGCACACTGATACCACTTTAACTCTCCTGGCATCATCCTATGAGATCCTGGGGTTTGTAATTTAGGGAATGTGCTTAGAATTCCCAGTCAGAGAGTTCTGATGCCTTTAATCACACTTCAAATTTCAAATCCCAGAATTGTGCAGGATTGCCGTTAAAGTGGGATTATAATTGCACAGTATGCAAGTGCCTTTGATTTGGAGGGAGGGAAGAGCAGGAGAGAACTACTGCTACTGAAATCCCAAATGGGCATACTTTGACTCATCAAAATAGTTTATTGTATGGGCCCAAGGCCATGACAAAAAACACCACATACACATAATAGTACCCTCGGAGCAACAGGCACCCAAGAAGTTAAACAGAAACCATACTTTGACATACAAGACTGAACTGAAGTAATTCTTGCATTTGTTTGCTTGAAGACAGAGGGCATTATAATCCTTAAATATTTACAACTTATTTAGTTCACGGATATGTAAATCCTTCCGAGAAGGGTGACAAGCTCATTTTTTAAAAATAACTCCTTTTGGATGATGTGTCATGTTGCCAAGAATGAGTTCTGTGAACAACCCAGCAGAAATAACATTTTCTAGCCAGTCAACATAAATGTAACAGGGCCTAGAATTGGAACTATTTTTAGGCAGAAACACTTGGGGCCAACTTTGTCCTTTGACAAAAAACATTGTTGCTATAATAAGATTGCTTCTACCAAAAATTTCTGCAAAAATTCCCTAACCCTGATCTAAAGGAAGAGTGAAAATATGTAGGAAATAAACAATTAGAAAGGATAATTATTATTATTATTATTATTATTATTATTATTATTATTATTATTATTTATTTGTACTCTGCCACCATACCCCCAAAGGGACTTGAGATGGCTCACAGAAGCGTTCCAAGGATAATTTTCAGCTGCACAGAGGTAATCTATCATAGCCAATATTCTAGTTACAGTTTTGAGGACATTTTTTTATTAATGCTGATGAAGTGAGAAGGTCTGTTGGCAAGAGAAGCAGACAAAAAGGCATATTGCTTTGAAGTGGTTGTCTGAAGGTTCTTACCCTTAGTTGCATCCTCAAGAACCAGGTTCTCCAGCTCCAACCATTCTGTGTTGAGACGCTTCACCAGTTTATAGGCATTGACAGGATGTGCAAGATAGCCTTCTGGATCTGAAGTGGATTTAGTAGTTAGGGATTCCATCTTCTCTGCCCAACTGGGGGAAAAAGGATGCATGCTTCAGTTGCAGAAAATGATGCTTGTCAGTTGTTATTTTTTATCTACCTAATATGAATGAATAATGATATGCCAATCTACAAGCCCTAATTATCTTCCTAATCCTGTGCCTCTCTTTCCCCCTTGGGCTGTACTTAATTCACAGCTGTTAGCATATGACCATTCCTTTTGCATTTTACCACTTATGTTATAATATTTTAATTTGTAAAACAAAACACTATGCAACAGATCATTTTAACCTCTAATTTCAAATTGTAAATTATTAGTAATTAAGTATAATTTTTAAGATGTTGCATTGAAGCAGCAGCTGATGAAGTTGAATGCTGTAGCATCCACTGCATTTAAGACAGAAATTAGGAGAAGGTGAGTAAAGAGCTACTAGATCACTGGTTGATTGGTGAGCATCTCTGACTCCTAGATGTGTAAAAATAGCAGCAGCTGAAAAGGCTACTCCTGTCTAAATTACGTAGCTGAGAAAGAACACTTGAAGAAATACAAGAAGCCATTTTTTTCTATTCAAAGTGGCATTATGGTACTGATCGTAAACTCCTGGCCAGATGCCCAGGAACAGCCTGTGTCTTGCATTAGTTGTACCAGGTGGGCCTTGGGGCTCTAGTAAAATATCATCATTATAATCATCATCATCTTTATCACCATCATCATCTAAAATAAAACAAAACCAGGAGGATCCCATTAGCCTCCAAAAAGTCTTTTTTAAAACAGGAAGTGAAAACAACCTACTCAGAGTGACATCCTTTGGGCATTTTCTGGACCATACCCAAACAATAATTAAATACCAATATGATGGAGGCATGTCATTGTTTGCCTGGCCTTCTTGGGGTCTTTTCGGCCAAAGGCTCCTTTAATGTAAACTGAAAGAGAAACTTCCTGAGACAAGGACAGTGATAAAGACAGCAAAAATAGGGGGAAATGCCAACTGCAGTTAAGGTTTGGAGTGTAGATCTAATGTAACATACAAAAAGAAACAACATGCCTCAAAGAGCTGGATTAACTGGTATGGAGGTAGGAGAAGTGGTTCAAATTCACCACTTAAGCCTTCCATGTCCAGAAGAAATCCATCTTTAATAAAGAGCCAATCTGTGATACAGGGAGAAAATTCCCACTAACAATTATAGGCCATTGGTTCAAAAGTAAACAAGGGCTATATCACATGAAGGGGAGAGGAGAGAGATAGTGCACCATGATTAGTGATCCAAGTTCACATTTTACAGTTTAGGACACCTTCTCCAAATTGGTGCCTCCATTTGTACAGGACTACAACTCCCCTAATCCCATATCCAACACTCTCCAGAACATCTGCGGCATTCAGGTCAGGAAAGATCAATTACTTCAGCCAAACATTCTGGAGTTTTGCTTGGACCCAGAACAGCTCTCTCTCTCTTGTGCTTCTAGCTTCTTTTGGACTACAGGATAAACACTGAAGGTAATGTACGCAATATGCAGGTGATGTTCTTATTATCAAGAGAAAAGGAAAGAGGAGAAATGTAGGAAGTTCCTTCAGATAAGGGCAAGCAACTAAAATAAGAAGAGAAATACTATCTTGTTTTTCTTTCCTTTTGAAAATCCTAATCTAAAATTTAAAACCCTACCAATTTAGAAACAAAAAATAGACTAGACAATATTAAAGCACAGCTTTACCACTTTTGCTGTGGCTGAGTAATAGAGGAATGAAACAAGTTACAGTTGATTTCAACCATTGTTATCTTAGAGTATGTGATGCAGATGAGCAGAGAAAGGAATCTAAATACTCAATTGAGATATTAATTCAAAAGGGATATATAATACATTGACCTAAAACTTTAAACATTAGTGGTCTACCCAAAGCCTGTATTGAAACAACCACCAATTACCAAAGTGGACCCTTAAAAACACTGTTGTTGTTCATTCGTTCAGTCGTCTCCGACTCTTTGTGACCTCATGGACCAGCCCACACCAGAGCTCCCTGTCGGCCGTCACCACCCCCAGCTCCTTCAAGGTCAGTCCAGTCACTTCAAGGATGCCATCCATCCATCTTGCCCTTGGTCGGCCCCTCTTCCTTTTGCCTTCCACTTTCCCCAGCATAATTGTCTTCTCTAGGCTTTCCTGTCTCCTCATGATGTGGCCAAAGTCCTTCAACTTTGTCTCTAGTATCTTTCCCTCCAGTGAGCAGTCGGGCTTTATTTCCTGGAGGATGGACTGGTTGGATCTTCTCGCAGTCCAAGGCACTCTCAGAACTTTCCTCCAACACCACAGCTCAAAAGCATCGATCTTCCTTCGCTCAGCCTTCCCTAAGGTCCAGCTCTCACATCCGTAGGTTACTACAGGGAATACCAAGGCTTTGACTAGGCGGATCTTTGTTGCCATTCTGATGTCTCTACTCTTTACTATTTTATCGAGATTGGACATTGCTCTCCTCCCAAGAAGTAAGCGTCTTCTGATTTCCTGGCTACAGTCTGCATCTGCAGTAATCTTTGCACCTAGAAATACAAAGTCTGTCACGGCCTCCACGGTTTCTCCCTCTATTTTCCAGTTGTCAATCATTCTTGTTGCCATAATCTTGGTTTTTTTGACGTTTAGCTGCAACCCGGCTTTTGCGCTTTCTTCTTTCACCTTGATTAGAAGGCTCCTCAACTCCTCCTCGCTTTCGGCCATCAGAGTGGTGTCATCTGCATATCTGAGGTTGTTAATGTTTCTTCCAGCAATTTTCACCCCAGCTTTGCATTCATCCAGCCCCGCACATCGCATGATGTGTTCTGCATACAAGTTAAAAAGGTTGGGTGAGAGGATGCAGCCTTGCCGTACGCCTTTCCCAATCTTGAAGCAGTCTGTTGTTCCGTGGTCAGTTCTGACTGTTGCTACTTGGTCCTTATACAGATTCCTCAGGAGAGAGACAAGGTGACTTGGTATCCCCATACCACCAAGAACTTGACACAATTTGTTATGATTCACACAGTCAAAGGTTTTACAATAGTCAATAAAACAGAAATACATGTGTGTTTTTTCTGAAACGCACTGCCATTCTTCATTATCCAGTGGATAATGGCAATTTGATCTCTCGTTCCTCTGCCTTTTCTAAACCCAGCTTGTACATCTGGCAACTCTCGCTCCATGTATTGCTGGGGTCTTCCTTGCAGGATCTTGAGCATTACCTTACTGGCATGAGAAATAAGGGCCACTGTACGGAAGTTTGAGCAGTCTTTCGCATTTCCCTTTTTTGGTATGGGGATATAAGTTGATTTTTTCCAGTCTGATGGCCATTCTTGTGTTTTTCATATTTGCTGGCAAATGGCATGCATCACCTTGACAGCATCATCTTTTAAGATTTTAAACAGTTCAGCTGGGATCCCGTCGTCTCCTGCTGCCTTGTTGTTAGCAATGCTTCTTAAGGCCCATTCAACCTCACTCCTCCGGATGTCTGGTTCTAATTCATTCACCACACCGTCAAAACTATCCTCAATATTATTATCCTTCCTATACAGATCTTCTGTATAGTCTCGCCACCTTCTCTTGATCTCTTCAGCTTCTGTTAGGTCCCCTGCCATCTTTGTTTCTTATCATACCAATTTTTGCCTGAAATTTACCTCCAATGTTTCTAATTTTCTGGAAGAGGTCTCTTGTCCTTCCTATTCTGTTGTCTTCTTCCACTTCCATGCATTGCTTATTTAAAAATAGTTCCTTATCTCTTCTGGCTAACCTCTGGAATTGTGCATTTAACTGGGCATATCTCCCCTTATCACTGTTTCCTTTTGCTTTCCTCCTTTCTTGGGCTACTTCCAGTGTCTCAGCAGACAACCATTTTGCCTTCTTGGTTTTCTTTTTCTTTGGGACGTACTTTGTTGCCGCCTCCTGAACAATGTCTCGGACTTCTGTCCCTAGTTCTTCTGGGACTCTGTTTACTAAATCTAGTCCTTCAAATCTGTTCTTCACTTCCACTGTATATTCGCTAGGAATGTTAGTGAGGTCATATCTAACTGGTCTGTGTATTTTCCCTGATCTCTTTAGTTTTATTCTAAATTGGGCAATAAGAAGTTCGTGATCTGAGCTACAGTCAGCCCCAGGTCTTGTTTTCACCGACTGGATGGATGTCCGCCACCTTTGGCTGCAAAGGATGTAGTCAATCTGATTTCGGTGTTGACCGTCTGGTGAGGTCCATGTTTAAAGCCGTCTTTTAGGTTGTTGGAAGAGAGTATTCGTTATACACAGCGAGTTTTCCTGGCAAAATTCTATCAGCCTGCGTCCCGCTTCATTTTGTTCTCCCAGACCATGCTTGCCTGTGATCCGCTGTTGTCATTTGACTTCCCACCTTGGCATTCCAGTCTCCTGTAATGAAAATAATGTCTCTTTTTGGTGTATTATCCATTAGTTCCTGCAGATCCTCATAGAACTGATCTACTTCTGCTTCTTCAGCAGCTGTGGTTGGGGCGTATATTTGGATCACTGTGATGTTGAAAGGCTTTCCTTGCACTCGAATTGAGATCATTCTGTCATTTTTTGGGTTGTATCCAAGCACCGCTTTAGCGAATTTCTTATTAATTATGATGGCTACTCCATTTCTTCGATGTTCCTCTTGTCCGCAGTAGTAGATCTGGTGGTCATCTGATGTGAAGTGGCCCATTCCAGTCCATTTCAGTTCGCTGACCCCCAGAATGTCTATCTTTAGTCTTGACATCTCACCAATAACAACATCCAATTTGCCCTGGCTCATAGATCTTACATTCCAGGTTCCTATGGTGTGTTGATCTTTAGAGCATCGGATTCGTCGTTCACCTCCAGTACCGTCGCCGCTAGCCTTCCTTTCGGCTTTGAGCTAGCTGCGTCATAACATCTGGGGCTAGTTGAACTTATCCTCTGCTCCTCCCCAGTAGCATTTTGGCCATCTTCCGACCTGGGAGTCCCATCTTCCAATGGCATACCGATATATCTCTGGTTGTACTGGTCCATTTAGTTTTCTTGGCAAGGATACTGGAGTGGTTTGCCATTGCCTTCCCCAGGGATCACGCTTGGTCTGACCTCTCTGCCACAACCGTCCCGTCTTGGGTGTCCCTTCACGGTTTCGCTCATGACATCATTGAGGTGCTCAAGCTCCAGCGCCCCGACAAGGCGGTGATCCTTTGCTGGAGTTAAAAACACTAAAATCCACCGATTTCAGTGGAACAATCTACACATCTAATGTGCAGTAAGCACTTATCCATTTGCTTTAATCAAAATAAATATAGGATGTAACCATATGCAGTGACAGGCTAAAGCAAAGAAGTCATTACATTGAAATGGAATAAGTAAATGAATAAATAAATATGTCTTACTTTACCTTTTAATTTTAGTCAACTTAGATTCTTCTTCCTGAATATAAGCTTTTAATGACTGTACCAAGTCTTTTTCTGCATAGATTAGGTCTGTCATTTGGCCTTCAATGGAAAAAAGTCAAAATATTATTACATATTTTAAAGACAACAGGTTATCCACCTTACCAGTGTGCCTTCCCAGAATAGGAAACTCCATGCATCATAGCCCAAATGCACTTTACTAGAGATTTAAGATTATTTGCATACCGCACCTATCTCCAAAAACCTATCCATTTCACTTGGTCATGTCCAGCATTTTTTTAAAAAAATAATCATTACATTTGGCCCGGCCTTAGATTTTAACTGCGTCGTGGTGTTATTGTTTAATGTTTATTGTTATTGTTTAATGTTTATTGCTTTGTTTTATGAGTTTATTTATTGTTGTATTTGTTATGCTACTGTTTTATTGTTGTATCTGGCCTCGGCCTCTTGTAAGCTGCACCGAGTCCTTCGGGAGATGTTAGCGGGGTATAAATAAAGGATTATTATTATTATTATTATTATTATTATTATTATCCTCTGATATTAACAAATACTGCCAGTTTTGGGAAAGACACAAAAAGCTGGTTCATTAATATGTATGAAAATTAGTATATACCCATAAGAGCTTTTCAACATTGCTTTGGAATGTGGTGGAGACTCCTTCTTTGGAGGCTTTTAAACAGATGCTGGATTGCCATCAGTTGGGAGTGCTCTGATTGTGCTTTTCCTGCATGGCAGGGGGTTGGACTGGATGGCCTATGTGGTCTCTTCCAATTCTATGGTTCTAAGCAGAAGTTAGACACAATGAAAAGAGGGGTGGGGAACCCTGTGGGAGTGGGGAGGGGGCACGTTCCCTCTGTGGTCCAGATGAAGTGATCAGATCTCCAGCTAGTTAGAGCGTTCCCACCCAATGTCTTCACTGGGAAATGGTCTTTCTTCCTTGTTCCTGCTTCCCCATTTCATCCATGGAAGTGATGAGCTCAGCTGAGCTTAGAAGCACAATCTGAGCCTCATTTGGGATCTGTCTGCGTCTTACAAGGCCTGCCAGCTTTATGTATCCATCTCTAACCCAACAAGAGGGGAAATGGTGCAATGTGAGTCCTACTATTTTCTGTGATTATAAGTGATTGAATGCTAACCAGGATTCCCTTCTCATAAAAATGATGTTTGGAGAGTGGGGCGCCCTGAGACAAATTTGATACTCTGTCTTCCTCTAAAGTACCTGTTCAAACAAATTTATTGCTCCCCCTTATTCTGGAGTTTTGCTTGCACTCTTTTGCAATAAATCTCCTGTTTTATCATTATGGCTTATTTTATTATATACACTTCTGTTTCCATCTGCTATTTTACTAAACCTCACTAAGACAGAGGAGCCAAACAAAACACCATTATATTAACAAAGGACTTCCTTGACCAATATTTATTCATTGCAACTAACAAAATGAAAATGGTAAGATGTTACGATGTAACATTTGAAATGCACAATCAGCAGATTGAGTCTCCCTTATCTGAAATGCTTGGGACCAGAAACTAAAAGTTTTTGTGACCAGCTGCTCGCTTCCAGTTTTGGGAGGGGAGAATGGCATCCAGCATCTACTCCGTTTTGCTTTGGAGAACTTGACTTTTTACTTCTTCCTGTGTGATATACCCTAAATACTCATGTATAAGTCTAGAAATTTTAGTCAAAAAATCAACCCAAAAAACTTGGTCAACTTATCCATGGGTGGGTGTAAGTACTGTACCTTAATTCTAATAAAAAAAATGAGCTGTCACCTTTTCTGAGTAGAAAAGAGCTTAGGCCATCACAGGAGAACCTAAAAAAAAAAAACACAGATCTCTACTCTCTGGGCTTTTGAATCCCTGGGTGGGAAAATGGCAGAAGAAACCAGAGGTGGCTGGTCCTGAGATGGCATTGATGCTTTCCCATCTCTGCAGGATGAACCTTGACTTATCCATGGGTCATATCAAACTCCATAATTTTGGCCCCCAAACCTACCCTTGCCTTATACATGGAGGTGACCTCTACTTGAGTATATAAAGTAAATTGTTTCATTATTTCTTTGGATGATCACAGTTTTCCAATACACTTTTGTTAATATGGGAAGAGTTTTTTTAAAGAAGTGCAATATCACTTGTGAAGGGAGATTTATGTTCTCCGCTGGCCTGGAGGTGACCTTGGGCTCTCAAAGGCTATGCCTTCCTTCCTTCTTCCCCTGTCGGAGAAATGCAAATTCTGGCATCCTCGGCCACTTGGTAATATTTAGAGGAAGATTTCAGGTGCAGACTGTGGGCTTGCTATAAATGGCTATAGTTAAGTACTGAAAGACACATCATCCTTAGAAGGCAGGCCACCACTCAGAGCAACAATGACAGTATGGAATAATTGCTGTCGCTGCTGCTTGAGTGAGGACCCACAATGATGAAATCAAACCTTTTGAAGGGATTCACAATGTTGTGAGACTATGAAAGGATAAAAATGAAATGCAGTTCAAAACAGCAATAACTCTTGAAGATTTAGAGGAAACTGAATGAGATACCAGATAGCTCCCATCCTAAAGGATCCCTTTTTAATATGGTCACAGGATTTTGAGAGAGGGATCCTTACCTTTTTTAAATTTTATCATGCTGAACCCACTTAAAATCATATTGATCATGTTACATCGATCTAACCAAGAGGCCTGTGTGTTTCCGTACCTATAGATGTGAAAAATTCTGCTTGTGTTGGTCCAATGTAGAGTAGGCAAGTGAACAGCAATGACTTAATCCATGGAGTCATCTTGAATATATGGAATATCTGCAAGGTATCAAGAAGAAGAAGAAACCAATGAAGTCTGAAAGACAAAGATTAATCTTGCTGATCTCTAGTAAAGTTTCATATTGCTTTTCAAACAACAACACATTATTACCTAAGCAGGAAAAACTTCACATGACATAATCCAGGTGCATTACTGAAATGGAATGCTGTTTTCTTTAAATATTCATGCCTGCACTTTGAAAAAATATGTATTTCTAGCCAAAACAACAACTGCTTAATAGTTAAATGTAAAGGTTTCCCCTTGACATCAAGTCTAGTCATGTCTGACTCTAGAGGGTGGTGCTCATCTCCATTTTTAAGTCGAAAAGCCAGCATTGTCTACACATACCTCCAAGATCATGTTGCCAGCATGACTGCACCTTTATCTTCTTGCCAGAGTGGTACCTATTGATCCAGTCATATTTGCATATTTTCGAATTTCTAGGTTGGCAGAAGCTGAGGCTAACAGTATGAGCTCACCCCACTCTCCAAATTCGAACCACTGACCTTTCAGTCAGCAAGTTCAGCAGCTCAGTGGTTTAATGCACTGCGCCACTGGGGGCTCCGCTTAATTGTTAGGCAACATAAATTAAAGGTTTAATTTTACAATCTATGTGTTAGAGTGCCAATTCGTTTATTATTTTGCTGATTTTATAGTCCACATTTTCCCCAACATGCAACCCAATAAGCTTACAAGTCAGCTAAATTTAAATAAAGAAAAATATTTCAAAGATTAGACCACAATCAAGCAAGTCATCATATTAAAACACCATTCATTTTTAAATGTGTAAAATCATTTTAAGAACATATTTTTATTTTTATATATTGCCATATGTTGCAAAAGGAAAGTCCTTTATGATTACAAAAAACCACAACACCACTGTTGTGAAACATTGATTTCTATATGTATAGTAATGAAACACTAATATGAAATGCTTTTTGGCATGATTTCTAAGTAGCACTGGCAAGAATGTTCAAAAATGTTTTAGAAATGATTGAAAAGCATGTTCCTTGAGGGAGAGGAAATGTGACAGGCAAAATCATGAGCCATTTTTTGCAGTTTGGGACTTATTTGGGCTTGTCTTGTAAATCTCAAAACTTGGGCAAGTTCATGTGGGAAAATACAATTCTTCGGGTATCCTGGGCTCACACTGTGGAAGGTTTTCTACATGATCAAAATGTCAATTTGCCTGAAAATAAACCACTAGCCATGAAAGGTACTGTTACAAGGGAATCATATGCTCCTTTTACTGGCACTGAGCCAATGCATTTTGGACCAGCCGAAGTTCCTGACATTGAAGTCATCTCCCTGTAGAATGTATGTATTGAATGGAATATAAAAATGCCTCTGTCAGCATGAACAAGCTAGCCCTCTAGGAATAGGCACATTTGATATTCAAGTTTCTTCCTTGCAAATGCTATTAAAGCTCCCCCCAGACCAATAGAAAAACATGGGCATCCATCCAGTTTGGTGACTGAATCCATGAATATATTCAAACTGCAAAACTGAATCTTCAGCAACAGTGTAACCTCATTCAGCGTAAGCTGAATCCCTATTCTCTGATCCACCTTTGAAATGACATTGAGCAGCTCTACTCTGCATGGATTAAGCTTCATTTTATTCACCCTCATCCAGCTCATTACTGACACCAGGCACTGGTTCAGAACTAAAATAACTTCCTCAGATTTAGATGGAAAGGAAAAATAGAGGTGGATGCCATCATCATATGCCCCATTCTGATTCTTAATCTAGGTCAGGATTCCAACATGTACATTATCAAAATATGTTACATTAATGACTGTGCCAAGATGATGTTTCGTTTTGTATTGACTAAAAATGCAAACATAGATGCTTCTTTAACATAATGCATAAAATGATCCTAAGAATGAGACACAGAACAACATACATGTAGGCATACTCTTGCATTTGCTGGACCATTCCTGCTGTCAGTAAAGGAGAGAACTTTGTTAGGTACCTATTTGCTATTTAGACTAAAGAGCATTTCATCCCATCCTGTTAGCTTCTGGCATTGACAGCTGCCCAGTTTCATTCTGTTGCTCCTTAAATACCCTAAGTGATTTTGCTGCTTCAGACAAGGATCAAAATGAGATGTACAGCAGCCGACAGCTATGTTGCAGTTCAAGGAGAGCATCTTTGCTACCCTGCATTTCATTGTGCTCATCCGCCTCTACTATGGGGGTAGAATTCAAAGACACAGTCTGAAATACCAAAATGCAAAAGGATCTTGTAGTATAATTTTTCTGCTTCTTAACATGGGGTTGGACTGGATAGCCCATGAGGTCTCTTCCAACTCAATGATTCTATAATTCTACTAAGAGACTGACTAATGACTTCATCACATGGATGTTTTTCTTCGCTTCTTGGCACTGCGGGCATGGAGTCCGCTGGAGCCCATCAAATAATGCAGGGCTACTTCTGGTGGGGCTCCATGCCGGTAGCATGCTGGCAGCACCAAGAAGTTGGGGAGGATATGGGAGGAAGCCGGGGACAGCAGGGAAGCACCGTGGGATGGGATCCCACAACTACCAATGGTAAGGGGACAAAGACTTCTGCTGCTCCATGGTTTCCCCCGTTGTTCCCTGGCTTCTCAACCTCCATATGGTGATATCCTAAGAAAACTAAGTTGATAGCATAGGCTTTTGTAAACTACGGACCTCATCACAAGGAGTTCCAGAAGCCTGGGATGGCAGGAGACAGTGTGCAAAACCATGGGACAATGCCCAGCTAGGTCTCCTTGACATTGTGGTTTGTGCCATCCCTTGATGTTTTCGTGCTGTCCCTGGCTTCTTCAATGAGGAGATGGGTAATCCCCCAACTCCTCAGGACTCTTTCTTAGTGTACTGCCACCACAATGCCAGCACAGAGCCCAATAAAGCACCGCTAGAAGTAGCCCTGCGTAATTTGATGGGCTCCAACAGAGTCAATCCCAGTAGCTTGCCAGCAGCATGCAAAGATACTGCCAGCAGCATGCATAAATCTATTTTCCCAGATGCATTTGAGGAAAGCTTATGCATCTGTTCTAGCAGAGCAACTATTTTCAATATAGTCTGAACCCGTGAAGAAAACATAAATATAAGCTTTCATAAATTAAATCTGAGAAAGTATACCTAGGGCACAGCTACACTTGACACCGCTGTAACTGCCATGGTCGAATGATAAGGAATCTTGGGGTTTGGAGTTTGGTGAGGCACCAGCATTCTTTGCCAAAGTAGGCTAAAAAAACTTGGAAAACTACAACTCCCATGATTCCATAACATTAGCAATTGCAGTTAAATTTGTGTCCATCTGCATTCATTCTGCTCCTAGACTATGAAAGCATATGCTACCAATTCCACTTTCTCAATTAGTCTCCAAGATGCCACAAAAGTCCTTCACATACTGTTTTCACTGGTATATGTATTCCAACTTTTGTTTAATATGGAAACACAAGAATTGTTGTCTTGTACTCCTAAGGAATTGAACCACTGACTCATCACAAGCAAAGGGGAAGCACTTTCTTCCAGAAGTGACATCACTAAGCACTTTATATATGGAAGCGATTTCTGAGAGGATGGACCATTATTGTTGTTGTTGTTGTTATTATTATTATTATTATTATTATTATTATTATTATTATTATTGCTATTTATACCCCACCTTTCTCCCCATGGTGGTCAAGTCCCCATGGAGGGCACTGCAATGAAATGCTGCTGTTTTGCCTATCATTCCAAGTGTCCAGGTGCCCAATGCGTTCGTAAGGAGAGCTGTGTGTCCCCGTCACACCAGGCCTGTGTGCTGAAATGCTTTATGTCAGCTCTCTGCTTTCTGCTTTTCTCTCCCCATCCAGCTGGCACTAGTCCAGAGATTCACACACATTTCTTCCTACAGTAATCATGAACTGCTTGCTAGTTCATAAAAAGCGGTTTCCTAAATGATATCATCCTGTATTATTTGCTCAATGCCACGTAATTTGAGCTCATTTAGTACAGAGAGAGGGAGAGAGTGCACACTAATAAAACCGATTCCACTCTTAAAGTAATTCACAGGTAATATGAGAATTTTGTAAAGCCGAGTGACAAGTGCCAAAGAGAGGTCTGCCAAGAGTAAAACCACAATAAACGATATAGCAGCAATAGGGCACAAGCCAGCAGAATTCCGGAGGTACATATATTTGGATATATGAAGCCATGTCTGACTGTCCGAAGTGCTTGTTCTTGTTTCTTGGAGACATTACACATGATTTGGCAAAGCCACTGAATTTTCTGGATAAAACAGCAACCCACCCACCCCACTTACATGTTCCTTCAGTTGTAGGCATCTACAAAGTCAACAAATATTATTTACTTCATCCAGTGGTCTGAATCCTTCCCAGCTTTGCAATTGTACATAGAATTATGAACATCAACAATCTGACAGCTTTTTCTAAACTTGGATTGTAACGATGGATTTTATTTGGAAGAGCAAAGACACCTGGTCATGGAATTTTTACAGCACACCATTCCATGCCTTTTTTCCACAGCTGTTCAACTTCAAATAAAAATATGTTTTTTTTAAATGAACATGAATAACATTAACATGAACTGAGCCAGCATGCTGTAATGGTTTGACTCTGACTCTGCAGGGCCTAGAAATCCCCTGGATGGCTTTGGCCAAATCACACTCTCACCGACCTGGAAGAAGGCAGCAGCAAACCCCTTTGAACAAATCTTGCCAAGAGAACCCCTTGAAAGTTTCACTCTAGATTTGCCACAAATCAGAAATGACTTGAAGGCACACAACAACAATGCAAATATATTTAATCTGGGTAAAGTAAGGTAATTGACATGCATATTGATATAAAATCTAGCTTGTGTTTTCCCAAGAGCTTTCATCATACATAGGAAACAGAAAATGGGGCTTGGAATGTATAACTAAATGTACGAGTACAATTTTAACCTTTCCAGTCGGACAGAGAAATACAGACATTCCACAGCTGAGAAATGCGTCAGAGCGACCATTT